TTCCAGAGTTAACACTTAGAACTGATACTTTGATTTTGTGCACATATCGATCTCCCATGGAAAGAAGTAAATGAACTTTATCTCCAAAGTGTCCCTTGCCTACAGAGAAGAAGACGAACAACTAAACCAGGTTGTATGCTTTATAACGATATTGAAATCTCTCTCTCGATCTTGTATCGGTTATAATAGGGTCGTATCTCTCTCGATGTGTATCATTCCTTCATTTGATATTTTGTATTAGTTTTTATTTTCTTATGTTTTATTAAATTTACTATTGTTTGTTTATCAAATGAAATGACTCCTAATTTGTGTCTGAATCAGATCTCACACGCGTGTTTGTCCGTGGAATTTAATTGACAAACTGGTGTCGGGAACCTGACATAAGGAAGACGGTGAATTCGCCATCACCAACTTCTGCCCTAAATTCTAACTTAACTATAAGACCCTCCGCCACTCATTTCCCTTCGTTCGGGAAAGGCCGTTCTTTAGACGACAGATACTGGTCTTGCCGACTAGTGCCCGTAAGCGGCGTAGACTAAGATTACGTCCCTGGCTATTTCACATTTTATTTCTTGTTCTTTTATTTAGTTTTTTGTTTGTTGTTATTTTTTGCATACCTTTTCTTATACTTTCTCTTTCCTCTTCTGGAAATTTCCATAACAAGTGTTCTGTGATCACTGCAAACTCTTCAATTTTCATCATTTCTGGTCCATTAAAGTCTATTAAAAATTTCACATAAGGGAAATTAAAAGCATAGAAGGCATAGAATTTTATAACAGGGATGACTGTATTATAATATATGATACGAGGAAAATGAACGAACAAACAATTATAAATTAAGCTAATGAGATAAAAGAAAATATTAAATTTGAAATAGAAACAGAGAAACAAAATAGTATTAATTATCTAGATATAACAATAGAGAGAAAAAGTGATAAATTAATTTATAAAAAATATGTGAAATCTATACAAATACCAAAAACAATTAATTATAAATCTATTACACCTATAAGTATGAAATATAATATATTTAAAATGTATATAAATAAAATAAGACAACGAACTAGTGAAATTAAAACTCAAGAGAAAGAAGAAGAAGAAATAATAAAAATGTTTATGTTAAATGATTATCCAAAAAGTCTATTGGATAAATGGTTAAAAAAATTGGAAATA